TACTCTTTCCTTTATCTCTCTGTCTTTCCCCTTTTCCTCCCTTTCTCTGGCTATATAGAAGCGTCTTTTATCTTCCTTCTGCCTCCGAATCCTCCGGCTGTTTCGTTGTCTCTCCTTCGTCCGTCCCGTCGATCCTTCTCCTCCTCCTCCTCCTACGCCGCGCCGATTTCACCGACGGGGAGGAAGACAATCAATCACTCGCACGTATCCCAGCGTTTGCAGAATCAACCGGAAATCTCTATTAGACGTCGAATAGGCTGAGACCTTTCTCCTTGGAGCGGCTCGACGAAGGTTAATCGCGATCGATTGATCGTTGATAGAGTGTGAGATCGAGTGAGATAAAGTCTGTTGGAATTTGTTTTATTCGCTCTTTTTTTGTGTCGATTTTTTGCTGGAAGGGAGAAGTATTTTTCTTTTTGTAATTCGAAGGAATGTGCGATATTGGTTGGATTTAATTTTGTTGCCTATTTTTTTTTTTTTTTAGAATTATCGATGTTTCACTACAGATGGATTTTCGTATATTAAAGAAATAATTGTGGATATTTTAAATTGAGCGTCGATGTTCGACGAGGGTTCTACACAGAACGAACTGCCACAGAAAAGATTGTTGAGCTTTCAATTGCAAACTCGTACTTAGATTTCTTGCGTTCGTTTTATCTGAAGAAAGTGTTATATCGTAGGTATAACAACGAAAAATACCGAGCCTTTTATTTCAATTCGTACGCTGAAGCACCTTACGTATTTTTACCGGTTCTTTTATCACGAGAACCGATTCTTATGAAAGCCGTTTTTACGAACTGTGCTTTTATATGTTCTAAATGTTTCGAATTCCATTATTTAGCTCGTTATATACGCGTTCAGTCTGTTACTTAAAATACAGTTAAAACTATTTCGACACATTGTTTGAATAACATAAACATCAGCTGTTATCGCAAAACTGGAAAATGTTTCGTAAACTTTGCAAAAAAAAAAAAAGAAAAATTAACGCAATATAATGAATTCTCAATGTTCCGCGTTTCATGTCTTCACTTCGTTACAAAGCAAAATAAAACGATACCTCGCTGTATGAAAACAGTACAATGCAAAACTTTTAGCATCGTTACCAAACAGCTTGTAATTTAATTTATATCCATAGAGCTTGGATGGTTTTCCGCGATCGAGACTGGCCATGTGTAATTTGAAATAAAATATGTTTAAAGTTAGGTTGGGTTGTTTTGCAATACAGCGGAACCTCGACTGTTACTTTTCATCGATACGTGATAAGGATTGCCGTTTAGTTACGAGTAAAAAAAGTGAAATGCAATAGAGGGAGGAGAACCGTGCATTTTAATCTCGCAAGTGGAAGATCTCACGTGATAGTTTACCTAGTTAACACTAAATGTAATTTTTTTTTTTATTGTTAGGTCATTTCGCAAGTTCGTGCCGAAAGCGACAAATATTTTAACGAAAATCTAAGAAAATTCTATAGCAGTGATATAGTAAAGAAAATCTTACTAAAAAAAGTAGGAAAAAGTTGCGAAATGGGAAGGAAATTAGGTTTCTTTTATCAAATTCAAAGGTTCGTTGGAAACATAGATATAAATTACAAAATTCGACGCGAACTTATGGGATTACCTAATATCTAATGGCTATTTTCTGCGTTGTTTCCTGTATTAAATTGACAATCACCTGCATTCCTTTCGCAAAAATATTATCTTTATTTCATAAGATGAAAGATAAAATAGCATCTATATTTCATAAAGTATCGATACTGTTGCGTCGTGGACTTTGATCAAATATTATTGGGTTAGATGTTTTTTATTAGATGTTTTCCTTTCGGTTCGTTGATGTAGATGTTTCATAGATGATTTGCTTTCGGTTCGTTGAGATAGATGGTTGATAGATGTTTAGTTGAAATTCGATTATTCTTTTTTTTTGACGATGTGTCTCGTGCACTCGTTGTACTGTTAATGCCCTGTTATCAGGTGTGTAGATGTATATATAGGGATTAGGTTGGTTCTGATTGGTGGTTGTGTTATGGAGGTGGAAAATGTGGTGTGTTCGGCTATTGATCGACGAAAACTATGACCTTTAGGGAGACCGAATTTGTTGTAAAAAAATTCGATCCCCGGTAACGAATGTTTTATGGTCCCGAGTGTTTTTGGGACCTATTGCCCGAGTGTCGCGCTGGTGAGTCCACGGGGGGTATATTTGTCCCGAGTGTTTTTGGGACCTATTGTCCGAGTGTCGCGCTGGTGAGTCCACGGGGGGTATATTTCGGTCTTCCGAACGTCGGCATCTCGGTCTGGCGGCCAAATGTGACTAAGTGGCCGAACCGAGACTTCGTTGCGTTCTCATCAGGTCGCAACAGATACGGTTAGTGTTAATTGCACGAACCTTGATGCTTTTTCAGTGTATTCTTCACCTATCTTCGTGCAATTCTAGAGGTTCTACTGTACTCCACATATCAATAAAAGATTTACACTACCGGTCAAAAGTTTGGAATCACCTCCACTTTTCATCAATATTAAATCTGCTGCTAATTTTTTATAGATTTGAAGTTTATCTCAATTCTACATTTATCAATTTATCTCATATCAATTGATTCGAATGATAAAAAATTCTCAAGGTCGCTGATTTTTTTCTGGAAATTTTTTGTAATTTGCAATGCTCAGTAATTCCAAACTTCTGGCCGATAGTGTATATCCACACACAGGCGAACCCCTAGAATCTTTACCAGTCACCTCGACAAAAAGACAATTTGTTAATCGTCGCGAGATCGAGGTGTACAACGAAGCACAGCAACAAAAGCGAGAATAGTTCGAATTGTTAAAAACAATAAACAATCTCCTCGTCCAAAGACTTCTCTCCCGCCTGATGTCTCGTTTTTCGTCACGTTTCTATTTATCGGTGTTCTTGTAACGCAACAACGCAAGATCATGTAGAAACTAGAAAAAATTCGAGCGAAAGGGCAACTGAAAGGACCCGGTATAGGACTGGACGATTGTGAAGAAAAGCGTAATAGCACGATCGGAATGTTAGGTGGAAAACGGATACGAGCCACGGAGACAAAGAGATTCGTGGTACAATCGTTTGAACAGCAATTTCAATCGTTGGGAAGAACGCGGAAAACGCGACCCGCGTTCTGTCATTTTGCGAGAAGAATTGCATTTTCTAGACGGCTTGGCAGTTGTCTGACCCGGGTCAGCACTCAGGAAACCGTTGTGAAGTGAATAGATTCGAGGTTGTCATCGGACGCCACAGGTGCGTTCCCGCGCAGTGCCGACTCTAGAACGGCGATTTTCATCCGGGAAAATTCGACGTTCCGTTCGAATACGCGGGTATTATACTTCAATCGCGAAATCACGGTAATTACTGTGTCAATTGAGATTCCAGTATTTATAACGTTTCGATTTCGAGACCAATTTTCCGTCACCATTTTCACCGTGAATTCTGGCTGTCGCTTTGAAATCTCACGCGACACCCTTCATCGATGAAATTATAGGAAAACTATTATTCGATATACCTATCTCCGAAAACGCGCAAAGATGAGAATTTTCCGTGTAAAGCTACTCGAATTTGCAGAAGTTTCTGTGTATATTAAAATGGTATAGTGGTGCAACGTGATATTCAACTAGGGTAATGTGATACTGGTTATACAGGGTGGGCTACGGAAAACATGTCACATAATTATTTTCTCTAGCTATTTTTATACGTAATTTAAATGATTTTAAAGGGCGAGTAAGATGGAAGAAACGTGAGTTCAATTCTCGTTTTAGTTCATCAAAAAATTTTCCTCTAACTTTCCCTCCTGTAATACTTCTCCAAACATTCTTTCCTAGAGCACCTAATACTCTAAACTCACAGTCAGTCACACACTATAAACCCGACTAGAATTTCAGTTAGGCATGCCTAAAGACGAATGTGGGCATAATGCGGAAACGATTAAGCACACCTAAATGCTGCAAGCCTAATCGTTACCGCATTAGGTCCTAATTCGGAAGGAATGATGCATGCCTAAGTTGGGCATTCCTAACAGTTGCCATACGTGGCTGAGCGCACGCCTAAGTTAGGCATTCCTAACAGTCGCCATAAGTGGCCCAAATGGGGGTGGCCGAGCGCACTAAGACATCGGTTTGGGTCAGACAAGGAGTTCGAGTCACGTCCAAGACTTACTTCCATTACACTATATTCAAAAAGTGATAAAAGCAGAAAAATAGGTAGACGCGAATCTATACCGATCCAATCACAGTCACCCCTTGACTGTTGAAAGCTTCAGCTGTCCAAAAGTTCACATTTTTTGTTAGGCCAGTGCCTTTCGTTCAGCAGACCTTCAAGGGCGCCCGCCGATGCCCGCGGGCAGGCTGAGGTCAAAGTCGCGGGCTAGTGATGTCACATACATTGAAACGAAATGAAAAAAAGGGCACTTATTGCCGCATACATACATAAGAACGTACAGTGGGTCAAAAAAGTACTCGCACACCCTTCGAAACAGAATAACTTTTTAAAATTAGGACCAAACGGCTTGAGTTTTTACGAGACCTTAGAAGGATTAGTTTACTAGATGACGTGAAAACAAAACTTCGAGAAAATCGCATTTTGAAACATTTTTATCTGTACCGTTGCCTGAGAAGGCGTGGCTTACTGCCCACCGACATCTTTATGCCCGCGGAAGCTTAGTACTGCCCGTACGGGCAATAACTGAACAACACTGCACAAAGCACTTGTAACTCAAGATTTCAGGGGCTCCTGACTTTGCATACAACTACAATAATCGATATTTTTGCTTAACATCTTCATCTACGACCTCGCTACAGCTCTTCCGCCAAGTATACCGTTACTCAGAAAATAACAGCAGCTCTGAACAGCGAATACTACAGCGAGAGAGGTTGTTCGTGAAATAAGTGTATCGCGTTTACCATTTCTTAATTGCGTGTCTCACCAAGAGACACGAGATTGCTATGTGTATATGCGTGTGTGTGTGAAGCTGCTTCTCTAACCTTTCTCGCGTCTGGTTCCAGGTCAAGTGGACCTTTGGACACAAACGACGAAGGGCTGCGCGTGCAGTTTTAATTCGTCCAGCAACGAATGCGCGTGCTGTGTCCCATCCGGAGCATGCAGTTGCGGCGTCGCGTCGCCGGACAGATGCGCTCAGTGCGGCTTGGAGCAATACTGCGCCAACAGTAAGTAGCGTCGTTATGCTTCATGATCATTAGTCTCAATATTCCGTCGCGTCACATTAAGCAGGCCGCGTGCATTTCTGGCCACCCTGCCTGTTTCGTACATTAAGTTAACGGAGAAAGAATTAGCGACTCGGCATGTCGACCTAGTTTTTCAATTCTAGCTCTCTTCTTCCTCTTTTTTCATTTCAGAATCGAGTTTAGCTTGTTACATTTAGAAGTTTGTATTTCGAGACATTGCGTGAACTAAGGTTAAGTAGGCTTAAGAAATGTAGAAGGAAGAAGTAGGTTATTCAGCTCACTTAACGGTTCTTTCGTTGTATATGCAGCAAGTAAGGAAATACGAGGGTTGTCTTTAACCTTTTGAACACAGTGAAACCACTGCTTTATGCTTACTTTCACTAGTGGCTACCTGAGTTTCAAAGCACCTTTGGTTCTTTACTTCTCGAGCACTCTTGTTAAAAAGTATATTATAATGCTACGTTGTTTTAAATTGTGTAATTGTGAAATATGTGTGAAATATAATTCTGAAATAGATCTTTTTCTTATACCGAGCCTCGAAGGATTAAAGTCACGATCGTTGGGAACCTTCATTTTACCATTTTGAAATTTTTCACATTTTTGAAACCTATAATTGGGAAATATTAATTTTGAAATAGATTTGTTTCTTATTTCGAGTCTCAAAGAATTAAAGTCACTATCATATGGGAATCTCCGTTTTACCACTTCGAAATTTTTGACATTTTTACAACGTATAATTGTGAAATATTAATTTTGAATGTTATCCTTACACCGAGCCTCCAAGGATTGAAGTCACGATCATTGGGAACCTTCATTTTACCATTTTGAAATTTTTCACATTTTTAAAACCTATAACTGTGAAATATTAATTTTCAAATAGACTTTTTTCTTATTTTGAGTCTCAAAGAATTAAAGTCACTATCATATGGGAATCTCCGTTTTACCACTTCGAAATTTTTGACATTTTTACAACGTATAATTGTGAAATATTAATTTTGAATGTTTTCCTTACACCGAGCCTTGAAGGATTAAAGTCACGATCGTTGGGAACCTTCATTTTACCATTTTGAAATTTTTCACATTTTTGAAACCTATAATTGGGAAATATTAATTTTGAAATAGATTTGTTTCTTATTTCGAGTCTCAAAGAATTAAAGTCACTATCATATGGGAATCTCCGTTTTACCACTTCGAAATTTTTGACATTTTTACAACGTATAATTGTGAAATATTAATTTTGAATGTTATCCTTACACCGAGCCTCCAAGGATTGAAGTCACGATCATTGGGAACCTTCATTTTACCATTTTGAAATTTTTCACATTTTTAAAACCTATAACTGTGAAATATTAATTTTCAAATAGACTTTTTTCTTATTTTGAGTCTCAAAGAATTAAAGTCACTATCATATGGGAATCTCCGTTTTACCGCTTCGAAATTTTTGACAATATCTATGAATTTCAGTTAGTCGAAACAGCTATTTTCATTGCTTAAAAATATATCAAGTTTTCCGAACACACGTAACAAGTGCATCCTTCTGAAACGGTTAAACGCAACCCTCGACAATCACTTCGCGCGCTAAACAGGCAAAACGAAACTACATACCACTCCCACAGAATTCAACCACGCATAAAACTGTGACTTCCAATTAAACCCTTTCGATATTAAACTCGTTAGGTATCCAACTAGCGAGACTCGAAGCACCACTGCCGTGCTCTCCCTTCGATACACGTTCATCTGGCCAATCGTCTGATTCGTGTATTTACCTCCATCCAGGCTAGGGAATGTAATTACGCGACGTCGAAAAGGCAACCGCTGTCCCTTTGAGTACGGGTCGCCGTTAGAAACAAGATTTGCGCCATTAAGCCACTCTCCGTCCTCTTCGCCGTGGACGTTTCGCATTTTCTGCCAGTGGTGTCGCGGGAACAAGTGGGAATTAAAGTATGTCCGATGGAGAGTTCGTCCCTTCGGACCAACTCCCTGGATTATCGACACAGATAATGTTCCACAATTCCATAGAAACGGATAGAAAAAGTGTCGTCGAAGATAGAACGAGCCGGGAGAAAAAAGGCGGCAGAAAATCCTTTTATAAGATGAGAAACGATCTGGTAATTCCCAAAAGACAACGTGGAAATAACGTCGTAGAGGAAATGTCGGATGGATGAAAAAGTTGGGTACACGATTTCTTTCTAATGTTTGCGAACGAGAGGCACCACCACTTCACTCCGACTTTCGTTGCTCAAGTATAAATCCCCCTGCCCCTAAAAATTACTACCACGTTTCAGCCTTTTCTTTTCTGGTGACTAATTACGTCAGTAGTCCTTTCTGCCCCTCATCCATCTCTAACCCCTTTCTCTTCTCACGTTAATTACGTCTGACGGTATTGCCTCCACCCTTCTCCACGTCCCATCCATCAAACCTTTCTTTTCCTTTCAGTTCTTCTTGTACACGCGGATGAAACGTACACTCCTGCCTTTTAATCATACCCTGGACCCTTAATGGCGCCTTACTTTTACTTTCTTTGCCATCGTTCTCCCCGTCGTCGTCTACGTCGACGACGAGCGATGCGTGTCGAATATTTCTCAACGTTCTTCTCTTCTTCGTTTTTTTTTTCTTTCTTCCTTTTTGTTTCTTCGACGAAAGTTAGCAACGTTCGCGTCGTTGACGAGTTTCCGATTAATTGATGTATCGATCAACCGGTTTAAATATATTGCCGTCAATTTGATAGCCCTGTTTGTCGGACAAAAAGAAGGGAACAAAAGTTTGTAGTCCGCTGTTCTCGCTGATTATCGACGAGACTGTTTGGAAGATTACATTTTCCACGGTAGAAGGGATAGTGGGGATTCTGATCGTGAAAATTCGGTATATTGAATTCTTGCGATAATTTCTCGAGTTATCCATCAAACGGGGATTGAATATTTTGACAGTTTGATACTTTGGTGGTTGCTATTATCGAGTAGAAGCGGGCTGCTGGTATTTTTTATTTTCCATTGGATAAAAGGTGTAGTTAGAGATAGAAGATTGAACGAATTTTGAAAATAGGTGGAATAAGGAAGATTATATTAAATTTTTGAATTTGCATTTTATTAGAAAACGACAGTCATTTGAACGAGAAGTTTACAATTTTCAGCTTGATTCTCCCTTTTGTTTAATTGTAAAAAAGGAATAGCATTATATTTTCGGAAAATGAAATTGTCAGGTGTTGTATAATTCTTTCAAGAATATCTCGTCCAAATCTGAAGCATATCTGTCAATTACCTCCCGAAGTATAATTACCACTATCTTAAAAAAATTCAGTTTCGATAAAAACACGTTTCAGCACCTTTTCTTTAAATTCACGTAACTTCGTTGATCTTGAAGATATCAAACCAAAATTTCTAAATTATACTCTCAAAACTTGCAATTCCTTAAGTATGCAAAAATAAAGGATTTGTTTTTCTTTTAACTCTTCTGGTTGCGCGAATAACGTCACGAAGACTAACAGCTGCCCCGATAAAGTCACATGCGCCTGTCGTCAACCCTCAAACGGTTAATATTTCGTCTGAATACGAATTCAATTCTATTTAAGAAGCACTTCATCGAATTGCAATTTCCCTCTGCACTTAATTCCGCTAATCAAACAAGATACGGTGAGGAAGAAACGGTTTTACATGCCAGCCAACGGTAGATGAATTAAGAATCGATTCAGACTGAGCGAGCGAGCGAGGGGGATGGCGGCGAAGTGAGTGGAAGTGTTGCGTGTCGGTGTCGCGACTGCTCGTCGCCTCGAATGGGAAAGACGGAGGTCCGTCTTGTCTCGGCGGGCGTCGACGGAACGATGTAAGCAAGAAAAATCGTTATAAGCGACGCAGCATTTTTCTTTCGCGGCGGTGTTGCGCTTCCACGTGACCCGGATTCCACCGCGCAGACAATGGCGAAGCGTATCGTTCGGAATAGGACGCATCGTATAAATGCTCCTTTATTCCAGATTCGAACATTCGACGCGTGATTCTGCGTAACGAGATCGTTCCTATCCTTTACTAGAAATGATTTCTTATGAAAGAAAAGAATGGAATAAACTTTCTTCTTGAAAAACTAAAAGCTTAGTGTCAGAAAATTACTCCGACTCAGCGTAGGGCCCACAACAATATATTTTACTCAGAATCTGTGTCTACGTTAATCGGACGTCGTTTGCAAAAGTGTACATTGACTGTCTCGGGAAGAGTGTGGACGCGTCGTCCTACCGATCCCTGTCCTCCCCCACGCGAACAGGCCCAGGGAAAGGCCCAAAGGGGCGGAGTCACCCCCACCGAGCGCGCTGGGCGTGGCTTCATGGTGCTCGCTTCACCGTCTGCGGGACGGATTTTCTCAGATTAGTTTTTGCAGGCCCAGGGAAAGGCCCAAAGGGGCGGAGTCACCCCCACCGAGCGCGCTGGGCGTGGCTTCAGGGGGGTTTGCTTCACCGTCTGCGGGACGGATTTTCTCAGATTAGTTTTTGAGAAGATCAGATTTGAAAATGAGGTGCGTACTAGAGCTGTTACTTAAGAGATACCCGGGTTACTCGTGATAAACTCGGGTAATCAGAAAGTACCTGGGTAAACAGAAATTATCCGGGTATCTCATGAGATGAGAAAGCTGAGAGTAGATATCTATTATTCCTCGACTGTTTGGGTACTTAGATGCTCGGTGTGTTTTACTCGAGTACTCTACTCATGTTACTTGCATATCTACAATATGATTTATGTTTTTGCAACAAATAAGAATACAATGAAGTAATTAATTGCTGTACGTCATTTTCCTAGACGCCCTACAATTGTTTGGTTTCATTTCTTGCAATAGTAATTGCCGACAAAGCCAACGGTAGCGGCCTCCCAGATTTCGACTGTCTTATGTACATATTCGAGTACTCGTGAGATACCCGGGTCGATCGGGTTACTTTCATCTACCCGGGTATCTCATGGGTACTCGAATACCGGCTATCTCAGATACCCGGTTAAAAGTAATAGCCCTAGTGCGTACTGAGGTAGATTCAATTTAAAAAGGAAATGATAATCACCGATTTTTATGAAACTTTGATATGTTACAGTGCTCAAGAAAATATTTGACACGTATTTTTTTAATCGTTCACATTGAAGGGGTGAAAATTACCCTCAGATATGAGTGAAAATAAAGATATTTGGTGTAATATCACGAAAATTATTAGAGAATTTCAAATTTGGAAGATAAAAATTTGAAAATTTGAAAAATTAGGAATAATAAATACTTTTGTATTTTTCCAGTTTATTATCGAAAAATACGAGATTCGTCAATTTTCACTATTCCTCTATCTCTAATCGTTTTCGAGAAATTAGGCTAAATACATCTACCATCTTCACAATTCAACTGTGCACGATTGCCCACATAAAAAAGTACGTGTCGAATACTTTTTTCAGAACTACCATATCCCAAAGTTTCACCAATATCGGTGATTATCCCTTCGACATGTTCTCTCGTTGAAACTGCATAAAACACGCAGCAAATTTTCCAAACTAAATTTCCCCAAAAATCAAGCCTCCCGTGAGAAAATTTCACTTCACATTTCTTTGAAATTTTCTTCACAAAGAATCACTTGTACATAACTTCTCACCGCACCCTACACAATCCTCGACGAGCAATATTTCAAAGAAACTTAAGCGATTACTGTCATATCGTTCGAAACGTTTAATTAAACTTTGATAACGCGATATTTTCGAAATTATCAAAGTTCTGTTTCCGTGACAAACTCGGTTTGATAAGCCTGGTCTTTGAATAGAAAAAGAAGTGTAAGAAACGAGCGCTTTTCATCTTGAGATTATCAGTGAACTCGTTACCGAGATTTCTTAGCAGAAATCTCCGCCCGAGATAGCGGACGAAGACATTCAGGCGTGTTAGGTGTGCAAGGAAACGATGACTTGGCGAAAAGTTTCTGGAGTAGAGAATACCGGAATCATTTATTGGCTGGAACACAATGGATGTATAGATATCTGATAATGGGACAGTGGGACGGTATTTTTCTCCTCGCCTTACATGGAGATTCCGTTATCCTGTGAAACGTGCGCGGAAAGTAAAATTACGAGGCAGTATATTAAAAGATTGTGTCACCGTTTCCGTGTCACATCACCGTATAAACCTGATAGAGTAACCTATATATCCAAGATAACCGATATCGTCTCCAAAAGCTTTCACGTGGGACAGAAGAAAAAAAAAGGAAAATTCAATTTACGTCACAACTTTCTACTATGTACATTTAATTAACATCGACGAGTGTGAATGTGTATAACCTTCCTATCACCCGAGTGCAACAGGTGTCTTCGAAATGAGTTCTCTTTTCACCCTCGTCCAAATAAGAAAGGATCGATTGCCAAATTCGTGGATCAACGCCAAGTGAGAAAAAGAAAAATCGAATCGAATCGAAGCAGAACTAACTTCGTACAGCTCGCCTAAATCGGCGAAATACCCTTTCGGAATAAACACGGTATCCCAATCACACACGATTCAAACATTCCATCCACAGAATGATAAACTATGCACGCGGTCCTGCGAATCGCGCGATAGAGTTTCATTCGTAACGTTATTACGCGTAATCTGCACTGGATTATCGACACAATCGATAATATTCTCTGGAAATAGTTTATTGCCGTAGCGAACGAAGGAAAATGGACATGTACACCGTTTAGAAATGACGATATTTTCTGTTGAATGTTTTATTTCTTTGAAACGTTAGAGTTGATAGATTTTTCGTTGAAATCTTGTCGATAGAATGGATTTACCGACTTCCCTTTTTTTTTCTCTTTCTCCTCTGTTTCAGTGTGCAACATAACGCTGGACAGCAGACAGTTGCTGAGCAAATCGGATCATAGCTTTGGGCAAATAAAGTCGCCACCCCTTGAAGGACCCTCGAGGTGTACCTACAGGTTCGTACCGGACACTGGCCAGAGAGTCGAGCTGCAGATCCATCGACTAATCTCCATTGGTAGACATAACGGCACCGTGTAAGTGGCTTTTCTACTATTTCGCTATTATCGAGAAGGATTGCTGGATACTTCAAAGTTCTATTTGGTACGTTCCACGGAGATGTGAATGTAAATTTGATATTTCAGTGGCTGAAATTTCGTTTACAAAGTGTTATTCTTTGTGAAGAATTGCGAATCTCAGATTTTTGAGATCTTCGAATTAACAGTTTTCCAGCGTTTATGTTTCGAGGGCGATTTTTATCCCCTAAATATGAATATTAGTAGAAAAAAGGAAAAGAAAATACTGGTCTAATATTTGTGAAGTAACAAACGGAATTCGTATTTAACATTTTTCTCTATGTCCCTTCGTTTTAGAGATATTTTAATTAACAGTTTTCCATCTTCCACGTTTCGAAGGCGATTTCATCCCCTAATCGTGAATATTAGTATTAAAAAAAAAACAATACGTGTCTAATCTTTGTGAAGAAGCAAACAGAATTCGTATTTAACATTTTTCTCTATGTCCCTTCGTTTTCGAGATATAGTAATTAACAGTTTTTCATCTTCCACGTTTCGAAGGCGATTTCATCCCCTAATCGTGAATATTAGTATTAAAAAAAAAAACAATACGTGTCTAATCTTTGTGAAGAAGCAAACAGAATTCGTATTTAACATTTTTCTCTATGTCCCTTCGTTTTAGAGATATTTTAATTAATAGTTTTCCATCTTCCACGTTTCGAAGGCGATTTCATCCCCTAATCGTAAATATTAGTATTAAAAAAAAAAAAAATACGTGTCTAATCTTTGTGAAGAAGCAAACAGAATTGGTATTTAACATTTTTCTCTATGTCCTTTCGTTTTCGAGATATTTTAATTAATAGTTTCCCAGCCCTTATGTTTCGAGAGTGATTTTATCCCTTAAACGTGAATTTTAGTAGCAAAAAAGAAATACGTGTTTAATATTTTAACATTCTCTAGCTGTGTGCAAAATTTTATCGTAATCAGCGTGTATCAGTAAATGAAAAAAATTTGTACGATAGACTTTTGGCGCTTAAAATTGCATTTTCCAAATGTCTTTATATTTCAAACCAAAATTAAGTGTTCAGAACTCGACAAACTCTCGTACGTTTAAATATTCATTCACAACATGAATATTTAATCCAAATAAAATAAATCTCCAAATAAAAGTGATAAATAACTTTGGAATAATTGAAAATTTTCAATAGACATTGCAAACACACTGATAGATTTGAATTTACGAGGTTTAAATAAATCCTTGTTAAATATATCCCAATACAACTGTTTGTATAATTAAATAATGTACGTTTCATATAAACCTACTTTTGGTCGTTCCTCTGCCCAGTATTTTTTACAATATTTTCCGTAAGTTCGAGTGACTGAGTAACAATCAAATTACCGGTTCAATTTTCATATACATGCAACCTGTGCAATCAGATGCACGCTGTTAATTTTCGACTTCCAAAGGGAATGGTTAAATTTGATTGATTTATCTCACTGTTTATCATGTCGAATCTTCTTTTTTCTTTTCACATTCCATCGTTTCCGAGAACGCTTTGCTCCCTGAATTTTTCCACGATATTTTATCCGTTTTATCGAAAATTATTTATCACTTTTATTTGGAACATCAACACACGATTTCCAATACTGCAGAAATCTACATTATCAACGAATATTATTAATATTCTCAAAATATAAATTCCACTTCCAAATACGAAGAAGAATTAGAAAGGATTTCTTTTTAACAAGCTATACTACCATTTATTTTAATTAAAATTAATCACCGAGATTGTTGCTCAAAGGAACGATCTTTAATTTCGTAAAAATTTTTTGGAATTATTGGAAACGCTCGAACGGTAAAGAAGTTTCATCCCGTTTAATCGGTAAAAAAGCTCCAAACAGCAACGTTACAACAACTATACGGTCTGCCACGTTGATAATTGTTTCGTTAATGTAAAACGGCTGGAGCAGAAACAACGGAACGTTTTCCCGCGCGCACTGTTAAAAATGCGAGCCGCATCGATCCTGTCGCGCAGCATTAATCAAAAATGTTTTTAATCACACCGGACAAGCGTGTCGTTCTCGATGCTGCTTTGTTTTTATTTCCTACTTTTAATAAAATTATCATTCTGCAGCAGGGTCGCGGCACGCGCACACACGTGGCGTAAACTCGGGTAAAATGCGTTTTGTCAGTACGAAAATTGTTATTGCAATAAATCTCGTTCCGCGGTGTTCGTTCTATCGGGCTTTTTTCATGCGCGAAACAATCCATTTCTCGTTACACGTGTCACTTGACGCGAGAGCTGTAATAAAAAAAAAAAAAGAAGAAAGAAGGAAAATGGTGAACGATACGTGACGGTTGTTCCGAGCTTCATTATTTAGAGTATGCTCGTCACTTACGTCGAATTAACGAAGAGATTGTTCGTTATATAAATTTGGTGAAAGGTTAATGTTGCTTGTTTAAACGTATCGCATTTATTTTTGGGTGAGAGGCGGCGGTGGAAGCGGCGAGCCCATTTGCCTTTGAAATATCGTTTTTCGTTAATTAGAGCATCGAAACACGCTCGATACTTCGGTGTTTATAAAATGTGTGGAAAAAGGAATAGTTATATTTTCAATTACCATTCGTTAATGTTTTAATCACTTTTATCTTGTTGCATTTATAACCAATATTTCGATATTTTTACATTGTATGAATGTTAAGTGATCTTGTAAATTGGGGAAGTATTTTAATGAAAAAATAAAAAAGCTTGAGAGCGACGGGATATCGGTTTTGCCAAGAAAGTGGGAAGAAATTGGGGAGAAGATGATTACGGTTTTCCATAAAATTTGAAAGTGTGTTTGAAATGGGGATCTGAATTCGGTATAAAAATCTATACGAAATGAGAAGGTGATATAACATTTGTCCATCTACTTTTTCGAAATCTTTCTTAGCTTGGACTATTTAATTTTGAAATCTTCAAAGTAGGAGTGAAGAATTGAACGAGTCAAAAATTGAGCGAGTCAGAAATTACGCGTGTCAAAAATTGAGCCAGTCAAAAATTGAGCGAGTGAAAAATTATTTTTCTGAATTTCTTGCCTGAGTCATGCCTGACCGCGTAATATTTTTTGTTACGTGGTTAATCGTCTTTTTAAATTAATTTAGGGATAGCTAATTTGAGTAACATAGAAAAACATCAACGGAGAAACACAATATGTACGTATTTGAATTCTTCGTTTCATTAGAAATAAAACAATTAATTTTCAAATCTTCAAAGTAGGAGTCAAAAATTGAACTAATTTAATTTCCTTCCAATGCAAAATACTTTCCTCAATTTCTCACCTGAGCCTCGCCTAATCCTGTAATATTTTTTATTACGTAGTTAATTACCTCGTTAATTAATTAATTTAGCGATAGTCCATTTGAGTAAAACAAAAGAAGGTCAACGTAGAAATACAACATTTTCCACGATCCCAGAAAAATGTATTTCAATTTACTATTTCATTAGAAAAAACTCAATTTTCAAATTTTCAGAGTAGGAACCAAAAATTGAACTAATTTAATTTCCTTCCAATGCAAAATACATTTCTCGATTTCTCACCTGAGCCTCGCCTAATCCCGTAATATTTTTTATAACGTAGTTAATTACCTCGTTAATTAATTAATTTAGCGATAGTCTATTTGAGTACAATAAAAAAGGTCAACGTAGAAATACAACATTTTCCACGGTCCCAGAAAAATGTATTTCAATTTACCATTTGATTAGAAACAAACTCGCTCGATACCGCTAAAAATGGCCAGCTACGTAACCAATACTTCAGCCCCTGCGGTACCAGGATTAAACGAGGCCAGACAAAAAGTCGGTGTAGAGAATATCGAACACTGGTAGCACAGAAATATCGTTCCTTTTAAGCGGCGAGCACGGATACGGGCCGGTCCTCGAAAGAGGTATCGGAGGGAGGCTTATAGTGGCCGATATGATTGGAGATCGCCTCGTGTCGATGGTCGTTTCAATTTGTCATACTTCCGCTCTTACGCTGGCCACACCATCGTCCGCCACACTTAAGTCCCTCTCAACGTGTGTGGATGGAGGAACGTCGCCTGAGAAACCCGTCTCGAAGCGGTCTCGAAAGAAAAATTACTGTTTCCTACCAAGCTTCTCTTCTACCCGCCTCTCTTTGCTCGAGCGAGCGAAGTTCGCGGCGAGCAAGAGAGGCCTTCGACAAGCTCCGCGAAAGTTCTTACGATATTTCGAAGAGACCCACCCTCTCACACTCTCTCTCTCTTTCCTTTTCTTCCTTTCTTCCTCCACGTTCTCTCTAAGTGAAGCTTAGAACACGAATGCACGCCGCGTTCGAAGACGCTTTCGCTCCAACAGTTTCCGTCCATCAGACTGGACAGCGCCTGGCACAGCGACGAGAGTGGAAATAAATTTTTCGGTGTAAATTATTCTTGTAATTGCATTCTGTCGATGCTCGACAAGAATTAACGCGAAACTTCGCAAGTTGAATTTCTTTTTCTTTAACACTAGAACAACAGGAGTTGAACGTGGTGAATTATTTCTCTTCTGGTATACTTAGATAGAACTGTATAAAGAACTTCGAAATTAGAATTATCAATGGAAGATATTGCAGGATTTTGTTGATTACTGTCAGAAAGTACTCTATTTAATTAAACGTGTCTACGTTTTTACAATAGTATATATTATTAAAAGTCTATATCCGCGTTATCTGAGCGTCGTTCGCAAAAAGTGTGCTTCGTGGGTCTCGTGAAGAGTGAGGACGCGTCGCCCTGTCCACCCCTACGCGAACAGGCCCAGGGAAAGGCCCAAAGGGGCGGAGTCGTCCCCACCGAGCGCGCTGGGCGTGGCTTCAAGGCGCTCGCTTCGCCGTCTTCGGGACCGATTTTCTTACATTACTTTTTATGTATGTGGCGGGTACGTCGTCGTCAACAAACCCTTACCGTCGTACCTCGTTCTATTCTTCCACGCGAACTATCTCTTTTCCAACTCCTTCAGATTTTAGTTTCCGTTCTTTTGTCT